GTGAGATTGCCTGATTTTTTTTATGTGTTCCTCCCTCCCGTAAAGATTGATTGAGCTTGGATTGTTGGACGGGCATTCTTCTAAGTTTATTCCCCCTCCTTTCTAAGTCCACACGAGTGAGAGATGATCGGAAGGAAGGAGGATAGAAGTCAGATGGAATGGAGCCAAGAAAAAGAATGTGGGGAAATGGATGGTCGGACGAGGGAATGATGGAAAGGGGGTACTTAGGAAAGGGGGAGGTAAATTAGGGAGACCTTAATGGGGGGTCTGAAATAATCCTCATTTAGGAAAAGGGGTTAACCTGACCAGAAGAACTGGTTGGTACTCTTTCATGAAAACAGGGGCCGGGTGCTGGAAACAAGATGGCGCGATGGTTGTCTCCCCCGACTTATACCAGCGGTCCAGAGATGCCAGTAGACGTAAAGGATGGGGTGTCGGTCGTCCTCCCGGAAGATGGGGCGTGGACGAACCTTGAACCAGCCTATCAAACTGTAATGCTGGAAGGGGAGGACGCGTTCCTATGGATAGAGACGGTATGGGCTAATGTTAGCTTGACAAGGTTGTCGCCAAGTTTAATGGATTTGGAGTTCCGGGGAACATTGGAAGCTCGGGGGTGGGTCTACTTGTCGTAAGATGGGGAGAATGCTATGGTCGTAGAGTTGGCACTTGGGAATGCGCCGGACGAGCTGTTTAGGAAGGCTAAAGCAGAAGTTGTGTGGGCCGCGTGTTAGCAAAGGGAGATGGAAATGGAAAGGGTAGATGTGCGGGTGGAACTTGGGGATAGAGGAAGCATGAGGCGACCCGTCAGAACCATGCGATGTGTGCTGCCTCCCTTCCTAGTGGATGCGGTGTTTGGAACTCGGAGTAGACTGGTAAGGATATGTCAGTCCATGACGAACCTTGGACTATACCAATGCGCTAGGCAGGATTTCTTTCGGTTATCAGTAGAAATGGGGCCGTTTGAGGGGAACTGGGCGGACGAGCTGGCCGAGATACTAAACTGTCTTAACCTAGACAATATCTTTGTCCCTAGCTCTGTGCATTGGGGGATAGTCTACAGGAATGTGGCAATAGGGGAGACGTTTATGGATGGGGTGAGGGGTTTGTTATACAGCGAGAAGGACGACTTCAGTGATGAAGACGAAGATGATGAGATGGAGAACTGAGACTTCTAAGAGGGGTGGGGTAACTTAACCTAGGAAGGACGGGTGGCCTGGTATTGTGCAGGAAAGGGGAAGATGACTAGAGAAGAAAGGATGATGGAATACACTTTCAAAGGTTGGGAACCACGGTGACTCAGAGGAGGAATAGAAATGCCTATACCGACAGAAAACGAATGGAGGGGGACCACGTGCGAATGGATTGGGTTTGAGGTCGCCCGGGACTTGTCATATGTATGGTAGGGCGGATTTGGAACCCGATAAGGGAAGAAGAAGGTTGGGATGATATAGCAGAAGGCAAGGTAGAGTCAGTCGGAACGATTGTCCTTTCCGAGGATGGATGACACATGTTTTGCACTATGTTAGCCATGGGACAGGACCCAATGTGGCTTCTAGGGGATGCAGAGGCGCGAACCCGGAGGGAAGGCAAGAGGTTCGCCAACGAGGGGTGGGACGAAGTTAGTAGCAAAGTTGTGATGGGAGGGTGGAAAGAACTCAGGCCTCCCTGCCTGCGCATAACAGCTTGGGTGCTCGAGTTCGTGGCCGACTGGTTCGGGGGTTTTGAGCACATAGCAGACGTATCCGACTCCATGAGGAAAGTACACATAGAATGTGTCTGGCTGACCGAGGAGTTCTATAGGTTCTCCTTAAAATATGGGCCCTTCTATGGGGATAAAGCCGGTGAGGTCATCACCATCCTGAGGATAGGTAAATACGACCGCCTAGAGGTAAGCGCGGAAGCTTGGGACGCCATAGTTAGCCGGGAGGCGGCGGCCGCACCATCCTATGTGAATGATGTCTTTATGTTATTTGAGGTGTGGTGGTTTGATTAAAGGGACTCAAAGTTCGAGCGCCACAGGAAGAACGGAGTATGGAGGGTGCATGTGAATTAGGATGTAGCATAAGAAAAGGGGATGTACATTAGTCAGCAGGGGACGCGAGGAGGCCGAAATAAGGGCAGGCATGGAGACGGGATAGTGGCGGGAACCAGTGTACGATAGGAAGGGGGGTACTGAAAGACTAAAACACGAAAGATGCGGAATCTCGGTGGGTGCAGCAATCGGACTAAGGAAGCGGGAAATGAGGCATTGCGAGATGGCCCAACGAATGACGTTCTGGGAAGATAGGCCTCGCGGGATCCGACCACCAAGGGCATCGGGAGACAGGGTCGAAATAAGCCTGCCATCAAGGAACGTGGTGAGTAACCCGGTAATGGACTGGGTGGGGGTAGAGTTGGTGGAAGACACGGTGTACCTAGTAATAGAACTGGAGTGGCGTACGAGAGGGGAATTCGGGGGCATAAATTTGGACCTCCCAGGGCGAGTGCATGCGACGGGATCCTTACACCTATTGGAAGAAGGGTGGCGAACCTTTGGAATTGCCTTGGCCTCCGGGGATGACCCCGTGCGAATGTTCGAAGGGGCATGGCAAATAACCTGGCGGGAGGGGTTCGGGTTTGCAGATCCGGAACGAGATGACGTGACAGCTGAGGTAAAAGTCGCCGCGGCAGGGGGTTTTGAGCTGCCAAATAAGGTCGTACGGATGAGTCTACCACCCTTCCTGCTAAGACGAATGGGAGGCATAGAACGAGTGGAGCAAGCGGTGACTGTCGTAACTAGGCTAAATTTTGATGAAGCATTAATGTATCGAGAATACTATCGGGCCTTCCTAGAGATGGGGTCTTTCGGGGACGAACAGGGGCGCGAGGTGCTTTGCATTCTACGAGCAGTGGTAAATACTAGGCTGGGAGTCCCACAAATAAGTGATGAGACCATGCGGGGAGTCATCCGGCGAGAGGTAGGTCGGGCCGCGACCTACATAGATGATCTCTACCGGCTGTACGAACAGCCAGAGGGGGCTACTGCTCCCAGGGGTATGGAGGGATAGTTGAGACTAGAAAAGAGAGATGAAAACACGAAGGGCAAGGGAGGAAGTAGGTGAACGAATTCTGAAAATTGGCTGTAACCCTTTCTATGTGGACTATGCAGGGAATCACCAAGGTAACAATGGCAGCAAGACGTGAGCGAATGGAACGCCAGCCCCGTGTGCAAATGGAACGCCAACCCCGGTACCCCGGACCGCCCTGGAATAATGGTGGACGATGGAAAGTATCCCTCCCGTCGAGTTCTACCTATCGGGGGTTCGACATAGAATGGCGGGCTGTGACTTTGGGAAGAGACGCCGCCTTCATGTTGGTAGAATGTCGGTGGACAGGGATGAGACTCGATCGAGGCCCCGGAGACGATCTGTTTTCCAATCTGGAAGTTACCGGGACCATGTATCTGCCTGAGATTGGCTGGCACTCGTTGGGGGTAGAGATAGCACAAGGTCACGAGCTGGCACCGGTCTTTCGAAGGGCCGCCCGGACGTTGACCCGGATAGGACAATCAGTCAGGGGTAGAAGAAACGTGGGCTTACTTACTCGGGTGGAAATGGGGGGATGGCGGGAATTCAGAGCACCAACCACACCGCTGAGGTGCCGGGTTCCCCGTTTTATGATAGACCTTGTCTTCGGGAGCCTCGCAAGGGCGCGAGAGCTGGCAGACTCGGCAATAATGTGGGCAGACCACTTTCCCTCTCCGACCATCGGGATGTTCTATGGTGTCGCTGTGGAACATGGGCCGCTCTGGGGAAACAGGGCCCACAAATTACTAGAAGTCATCCACATCCTGATGTTTTGTGCGCCCCGGCTAGACTGGACGGGGTGCGAACGCATAATCCAAAGGGAAATCGAGATAGGGGAGAATTATCTAACGGGGGTGGCTCAACTATTCGAGGAGCCTACCGAACCGGAAGGGCCACGAGGGCGAGAATGGGACTAGCACCTGCAGGCGAGCCAGTAGGGCAAACCAAGTACAGTCCGCTACATTCGAAGGCCCACCGACAAAAATAGGAAAGGTGGGGGGCCTCGGACCCAGATGATCAATAACCGCCAGACAGGGAACACTACGCAGGAAAACTTTTCCTAACGGGTTGCCCAACCCGGACCCCTACGCACCGACCAACGGAATAAGGGCGCTCTAAACGAGCCGGTGATAAGGGAAGCTAAGTCACGCCCTTAGCTCGGTGAGGCAGCAGAGCCGGACGCGGCTCCATATTAAGGAAGCCATCAGAAAATGGGAATGGGGAAAAGCCTAATTGCCAAGTAAAAGGATAAACCAACATGACTGGAACCTAGGGAACCTAAATGCCTCGCACTGCGTTTGTTCTGGGGAACCCTTTGGTCATGCAGAAGTAGGCAAGTATGGCAACAGAGGATGAGACAGGTAATCATGAAAGCGAGGGAGGACCAGGCTTAGGAGGCAGTGCCGAGCAAAGCAAGGAAGGGCAGAAAGAATGAGAATCAACAAATCCGGATGGCACAAAAGGGAACCGGAAGGAAATGTCATCGGGAGAGAGCTCAGGAAAAGCCGGGGGAAACAGACAAGGGACTCAGGAAAACAAGGAGGGCAGGAATAAGGATAGGGCAAACCCCGGGAACTCGGAGGGAGTTGTGTCTAAGAAAGTAAGGGTCACAGACGCGAGGCGCAAACTGGCAGAGATAGAGAAAAGGACCGCGGAATACAAGGCGAGGTTAATTGAGGAAATGATGATTGGGGACGAGGAAGGCCCTCCGCAGGAGGAACCGTGGGACGAGCGGAAAGCCAGCCGGGGCGGAACTGGGCAAGGGGACAAGGGTAGTGACCGTGGGGGAACGTCGAGCAAAAGAAGAAAAGAAAGAGAGAACTCTCCGGGAATGGAGGCAGAGAAGGCTACGAACCGCTTAGCCATAGACAGTAGGGCTAGCCATCTGCCGATCTCGCCAGCGGTATCGCGAGGATGCGAAGGGTTCTGGAGCCTCAGAGAAAGGGTGTTGGGATGGTTCGACCCAGAAGGAACGACAAAGACTAGAGGGGGGCAGAAAGCCGGCAAGGAATAGCCAGATACCAGCATGGCAGGCGAGGCCAGTAGCTCCGAAGGCGGCCTTAGAAAGATAGTATCATCCCTTGCACGAGCACTGAACAAGAATCAAGGCTATCTAGCAGACGCCAAGAAAAAGTTGACTTTCGATGGAGCAAACATCACGGAGTTCCTGATCGACTACGAGAACCTAGCTGCGTTACTAAAGTGGACCGAGGAAGAAAAGATGGATCACCGAGGACAGCATGTGTCGTTAAGCCTAGCACGGGACATAATGGCCATTCTTGCCGCAAGCCGGTCTTGGAAGGAGACCCCGGATGTGATGATGAGGAAGTACCTAGCGGCGGAGAAAATGGCAACGGAGGCCGACCTAGCGGCAGTTCAGAGGAAGAACTTCGCAACGTACAATGATTTCCTACGGGAGTTTACTCTAGTAGCACTAAGGATCCCCGGGGTCACGGACCGGATAATGAGTAAATATTTCCTCAGACAGTTCTCCGAGTTCGACAAAGACAAGATCCTGTCAGCTTACCAACAGACGAGCAAGTTCGTAAACACGCGGGATGTTGATTTTAACACGGTAACAGATCTGACTGAGAAAATGGTAGTAACAGAAACGTTGGCCTTGCTCAAGGAAGGGGAGGTCATAGACTTGACCAGTAGGACGGGCGACAAGGTGAAAAAGGGGATTGAAAGCCTACACGAACGGGTGCACGGAGTCGACAACAAGATTGAAAGGATGGAGAGCGCGCTACTAGTTATGCAGGCGCAAGTATCCCGTCCCCCCCTCCCCCCTCAGGAAGCAGTAGTTCCGCCAGGGGTAGCCAATTGTGGATATGGACGGAGAGATCCCGCCAACGAACAATGCAAATACTGTACCGTGGTAGGGCATTTTGTGCGGACATGTCAAAAGCTCAACCATGACATACTGAAAAGTAGGTGTACCAGGTCATTAAAGGGGGAGATATTTGGACCACAGGGGGAACGGGGGAACTGGAACTCGCCAGGAGGGATGCGGCGAGCCATTATCATGCTCAACGGGTTAGAAATAACGGTCATAGAAGCCGAACCGGTGGGCGAGATCATCTGGGATCAACTCCGGGGGCGTGAGCCGCAGGTCAACTTCATTCTGGAAAACGACGGACGAGATAGGGTAAACGCGACTACTCGGCTAGGGACGGCTAGGAAAAGGATTAACCGTGACACCGTGATGGAGGAGGTTGCTGGAAGTTCGGAACCCCAGGCAGAGCTTGAGGCCGAGGAACCGGAAAAGATCTATGGGAAGCCTAGGGAAGAGGAGCCTACAAACAAAGTTACCGCTGCCAAGAAGAAGTTTAGGTACCAAATCCCGATCTTATCCTTGCCTGAGATCGACGACACCAGTAGCAAGTTACTAGGAACCATGGTGTCGGTGTCTTTTCAGACCATGCTGCAGGCTAGCCCTAGGTTGCTCAAAGGGCTTAGACAACTGTTGACCCGACGGCGAGTAGAAATAGGGGACAACCCCGAAGTACCAGAAGGGGAGAGGGAGGAGGAAGCTCCGCAAGAAGTGGCTAACCTTCAGAGGAGTCGCGGGGACTTGGAGGATCTTGAGAAAGCTTTTGCGGACATTCGTTTGAGTTTGCTCGACCGAGAGGGCGGCGAGGTCATGAGGTCACCACCCGAGACAAAACTTAGCTTTCATGCACTGCCCGTAGGGAAGCTGAAAATCCACATCGGGACTCATCATACCGACGCGTTAGTAGACGGGGGAGCAGAAATCACTCTCATAAGAAGAGATTTCGCAACGATCACGGGATGTACGATAAACAAGGAAGTTACAGGGAGCATCCGGGGAGCTGGCGGGGAAATCCCGTTCGCTGGGTACATCACGAAGTGTGCTGTAATGGCAGGAGTCAGAGAATCGATCTGGTCGTTTCAGCGGATGACCGTAATGGAAGGAAATGCTTGTGTAGGAAACCCTCACCCCTCCACGAGGGAGAAGGTATAAAAATCTCGTGTGACAGTGAGGGAGGGACGGAAAAGGCAGAAGTGGAAGAAGGAGGCAATGCAGAGATGGGAGATAAGGTTCAGGTCTCTAACGAGGAAGGAGCCAACATGGGCAAACGACGTGAGACTTGGCATGGGGAAAGCGAGGGGGGACAAGACATGCGCGACGAACATGAGGAGGGTGAGGAGAGAAGGGAAAGCCCGCTTGAAGGACGAAGCGGCCACGACAGTTGTGAGGGGTATTGGACGGGGACAGAGATTCCTTTTACCTACGATCCAAAGAACCTTGCAGGTGGGTACAACCCCATACAGATAGAAGACGAGGAGGACGAGGAGGAGGATGTACAAGAGGTCATAAAAATCAGCAGCGGGGATGAGAGGGATGAGATCTCGAGGCCTAGGGAAGAAGGGCGGCCTCCGATGCACCAGCTGGGCAACGGGGCTTTCAGATGGGAGAACGAGTTTGGGCCAACACCCAGTCATTCGTTTCAGCAATGGACCAATGTGATCAGGCACGAATGGATTATCAAGACCCGGGAACTTGCAAAGGCGGGGGTGGAAGCTACGCCATTGGACTTCTTCAGTGAAAGTGAATTACAGGAAATTGTAAGAAAGAAGAGAGAAATCGAGACCTAAGGCCTGGGGGTTAGGAAACCTGCCAAGGAACAGGGTGGGCAAGGAACTGGGCAAGACGAGGAGCAAGGCAGGAATAGGAACTAGATGTTGACTTAGCATTGAAAAGGATCGCTGTTTTTCTGTTTACAGAGACATGAGAATGACGAGAACGTGTACAGTATGGACAAGCTTGCTAAGGATGAAGTGAAAAGAGGGCCAGCTAAGGCTGTGTCATGATAAAATAGAAGATGGTTCTTGAGGCTATTTTTTGGATGAGCTACCTTCTAAGATGGGTGCATAAGACAAAGACATGGCATTTGGGATGAGACCAATTGGGAGAGGGTGTATTGTGAATTTTGGATGAAACAAGCATTGTGCTTTTGAGAGGGGAAAACCTTGAGTATGGATTGACGATCGAACCATGGCATTGAATGATTGATCGAGTACAAGAGAGGTTAGGGAACCTATGGGTTAAGGACCATGAAGAATACTCCTTCCCTAGGAGCCTAATCCAACCGAGTCATGAATTAGTCTGAGAATGGTCAAAATCTGAGTCGTCGGAACGAGTGAAGAAAAAAGGGGGCGCCCCTGTCTTTCGCTATGGCTGAACGGTCGGGTGGGCTAGTGCTGCTTGGGGCCGCGAGCTCCAACTCGAGTACTAGACGCTAAGTCGGATGTATGCATGGATAGTACATCACTGTGGGAAATGGAAGAAAGAGAACAGCACGCTAAAAACTGAGATGAGATGGCCACCTTCTAACCTCCAAGACAGAACTGGGATCCGTAACCTCGAGGCCCACCCCCTCGGGCACTAACATTGAGAATGGAAAGGAATAGCCCTAACCAGGCTGTTCGACTTGAGAATGGAAAGGAATGGCCCTAACCAGGCTGTTCGACTTGAGAATGGAAAGGAATGGCCCTAACCAGGCTGTTCGACTTGAGAAAGGAAAAAAACGACCCTAACCAGGTTGTTCGGGAATGGCCCCTGACAAGGGTCATTCCTTTTGAAATAGGCACTAGGGTCCCCTGCATATTTGATTAAGAAAGGTTGATTGAGAAAGGTTGATTGAGAATGTGCTGGAATGAGCAATAAGAGATGGAAAAGGCCGATGGGTCGGTCATTGAAATAGCCAAAGGATGGATGGAAGAGATGGAAAAGGCCGATGGGTCGGTTATTGAAATAGCCAAAGGATGGATGGAAGAGATGGAAAAGGCCGATGAGTCGGTCATTGAAATAGCCAATGGGATGAATGAAAGAGATGGAAAAGGTCGGCAGGTCGGTCATTGAAATAGCCAATGGGATGGACGGAAGAGATGGAAAAGGCCGGTGGGTCGGCCGCTGAAATGGCCAAGGGGGCGGAAGAAAGATGTGAATAAGAAGGACAGGATAAAGAAGGCGGAACCCTAAAGCCAAGAAGGGCAGGAACCGTTGGGACGGTCATAGAGATTGGGTGTTGAAGAATGAGAGAATTAAGGATTGAATGGGCGGAAGGGTCACTCTTGAGAAATGGCTATTGAGAGAATGATCGCCAGACCGGCCATGTGGGTGGCCTTGTTGATGACAGGCTGTCGGACCAGCCATGAGAATCAACCTTGGAAATAGCATGGGATTGAGTGTTTGAAGAGTGAATATTGCATTGCATAGCCAGGGGACCCTAGGCAACTTGATGTAAGGTCGTCGGGCCGACCATGGAAATAGCGAGAGATTGAGCTTTCCTTTTTTTTCTAGACTCAGGTCTCAACATAAGGGCGATAGCAATGCCTGCATCGCGACCCCAAGACCTCTACACGTTAAGGGAAAAGTCTCAACGCGACCTGCTCCTCATAAGAAGGAATAAGGGTTGAAGGACCAAAGCACCTCTCTCTTTGATTGATGCTGGTCGTCCGGAACTAACCCCGACAACGAGCTCTAGTCGGGGAGTTCAAACTGCGCCTCATGTTGAAACCTAAACGTCAAGGGCGTGGTGCCAAAGGACGAGAGAGCCATTCTTTTTCCTAGGTCTCATTCTTTCTCCCCAACCACACGCCATGCCGTAGAGGGGCGACACGACCGTTTGGAATGGACCACGGCTGCTCGCGTTAAGTTGAGCAGCACTGTCCAGAGGGAGGAATCGGGCGTGGTACCGTGTGGAAGCCTTAACCACCACAGGGCGAGTGACACTGCCCTGCCGGATCATTACAACCGTTCCGGGACTAACCTCGAGGTCTTCGTAACTGCACTCGCAGACTAATAGAGAGTCCCAACTCTCTTGAAAGGAAGAGGCCGGATCCAAGAAAACACCGCTCGAGAGGAACGATTCGCGAGAAGACACTTACGGCAAGGTGGGGTCCTGGGAGGCTTGGACTGGACCTACCTTCCAGATGTGGGGTGGTACCTCAGTGATGACGCCCATCTCATAAGCAGCAAAAGGTCGGGCTAGAGTAGGGGATGAGGTGAGTTATCAGCAGGGGGAGGACTGATCACCCTTCCTTTTTCGGGTTGATGGGCCGGCATCCGTTTACTCAGTTGGTGGGCCAAGGTCTGCGTACCTCTGAGTGTGAACTAGTCGTGTGATGGGGACATCGCATTTTGAGTGGGGGGAAGGTGTGCCATCTACCGATGAAAAAGCGTGCAAAAGAGAAGGTTACCATGAGCGTAAGAATGGATGAGTAATTGACTTTGTGCAGGCTTGAGAAAAGGTCTGGCAAGATGTCCAGAAGAAAAGAATGGATCAGTAATTGACTTTGCGCAGGCTTGAAAAAAGGTCTGGCAAGATGTCCAGGAGAGAAACGAATGAGTAATTGACGTTGGACGAGTTTGAAAAAAGGTCTGGCAAGGTGTTCAGCTGAGGAAAAGATGTGTGAACGACTCCACATAGGCTTGAGAAAAAACCTGGCGAACAGCACACATGTAGAAATGATGGGACCACCAAGGGTAAGGGGGCCCCAAAAGTAAAAATGAGACGCTATCCGGAATGTTGTCGGGGCCAAATGGGTCCAAATAATAAAAATCGGAAAACGGGACATGCGCCGCCGGGACGAGGAAATAGAACTAGTATGGAGGAAGATGGTGGGGACTTGGGGTGTCCCAAGGGAACCGACAAGGAATATTTGTGCAAGCAAACGGCACCGTCGAGATCAAGGATCTAGACGGTGGAAAATATTAGCACCACTAGTGCAAGCACTAGTGGGAGCAAGTGGGAGAGCCATGGGAGAAAGAAAAGTAAAATAATGATGTTAAGAAGGCTGCCCAGCAGCCCGGGATATCTCGGACTAGCTAGGCATAAGAAAATAGAGCCTTGAGAGGCTCAACATGAGAAAAAGGCTGCCCTTAGAAAATCGGAGCAGAAGGGGCTAAAAAATGGGCAAACGTGAGCAAAATGGAGCCCCCTAGGAGCATGGGGGTGCCATTGTTGGAATCTGAGATGTAACGGCCAAGTAACAGCCATGAACCTGGCCTTGAATGAGGCCTTAGGGCCTAGAAAGAGGGTGCTTAGCAGTTTGACACTTGTCACAGCTGAAATAAAACAAATAAATAAAAAAATGAGAGAAAAAAGAGGGAGAATGAGACAAAAGGGGAGAAAAGAGTAAAGGAGAGTGTGCCGGCCTATTGGGACCTGCACAGTAGGGACTGGCAGATCCCAACTGTGACCTCATCCCTCCTAGAATGAGGGAGGGCAATCCGGATTGCAGAGATCTCAATAAAATTTGAATTAAAAAGCTGAAAATGAGAGAAAATGCAAAAAGGAAGTGGCCGGTTTACTTTTGGGTCATGGATCTAAGATCAAATCTCATGGTAGAGAGGAACTAGCCGTTTTTTGTGGGCCAGCTCAAAACGGCTAGCTCCGGAATGAGGTGGCAGCCCAAAATGGAAAGAAACAAAAGAGGGAAAATGACAAAACAGTGCATTTGACCCAAAAAGAGAACCAGATGCACCAAAAGTTGAAAAACTAGAATTAGGGGCTCGAAAATGAAGCAAGGGCTACTAGGGGGTAACTCCGATTATTGCTGGTCTTGGATCTCAACCAGATCCAAGGCTGAAAATGTGCCGCCACATGGAAAAATGCTCCGGCCTACTCAAAAGAGGCCGAAACTTGAAAAAATCGAGAAAAAGGCCCACAAGGCCTTTTTCTTTCAAGTAAAAATGCCCCTTGGATACTAGGACCCAAGGGGGCAACATTTGTGAGGCAAAAAGGAGGCCGGAGTAGGCCAAGAGGCAGTCCGAGTTGGTACCAACCACTCGGACTTCATGTACTTGGCCAAAATGAGGCCCAGGTACCTCCAGGAGGACCTAGTAAGGGAATTTTGCCCTGGGGGCTCGTGGAGAGGCTCATGGGCTGGCCGGACTGCAGGTTTCAGCCTACATAAGCTGAGGATGCAGTTCGCCACTCTCACATTTGTATGAGGAGTGCCCATGCTGCCCATGCTGCCCAAGTGAGCTCACAAGAGCACCTCTGCACTTGGAGTGAGAGAGGAAGAGCCCATGTTAGTGGGAGAGCTTAAAGAAGACTAGGAGGTAGTGGGGAAGGCTCTAGAGGGTAGTGATGGTGGGAAAGACACTTGGGAGGTGATCCGACATATCCCTCCTGGGTGTAGGACAGAAGGAGAGGCCAGAGGAGCCCCCATTAGCCGTCCTAGAGGGGAGGACTCCATAGCCATAGTTGGGGGAGCTTGCCATAGCCTGAGAGAGAGCAAGGAAGGAGGAGAGAAGGGCTTGGAGAAGAAGGAAGTCATAGCCAAGAGGGGATTGTGCAAGGAGTGGAAGCCTCATCAAGAGGACACCAACATCAAGGAATCAACAAGGTGAGAAGAAGGAAGAGACTTCTTCACCTTCATCTTCTTCTCTT